TCATCTACCCTCTGAAGTACATCGAGGACAAACCCACCGTCCAGTAGGAACAACATCGATAGGTGGAGTCAAGCACGACATGTGCCATCCCCTAGAACACCTATCACACACCAACATATGGGCCGCCTGATCAGTTGACCCACATAACATGCACCTCAAGCTGGCACGTACAATCGCCAAGCTTGGGTCCATAGTACCATGGGCCCGAGTGTCACCCAACAATGGTACGTTCTGTAGAATGTATGCGGGAGAACGTGTCTGCTGCTCCTGGAGATGACGTAACACTCGTAGCATCTCCCAAAACATCCGAGATCTCGGATCATGTAACCCTGCTCCATGCTTAGCGCGTGTGTGCCCCTGACATGGCCATCCCGCAATCACCAAATCAATATGTCCAACTCGATCAAGGTCTGGCGCCCCCAGCAATGAAATGTCTGAAGGCAACGCCTTCTGGTATCCTCGAACAGCTGATCGCGGCAACAACAAAGGAAAACGCTGCATCAACTGTGTAACATGTCGTGAAGAAACCCTACGTGCAGTCTCGTCCTTCTCCACGTACAAGTATCTACGTACAAGAATACCTGACTGCAACACTGCAGCGAAACCCGTGCTGATCCATCCAAAAAGATCCAGCAAACAAACACCCTCTGGGGAATACTCCCATACGATAGGTGTAGTAACTAATGGTGATAGGGTGCTAAGACCACATACTAGCCGACCATCTGAGACTCGCTCTGCCTCTGCTGGTAAAGAGGCCTCACTCCAAGCCTTCTTCACCAACCTATCAGCCTCCTGCTGTAATGCGTGGCAAGAATCCCAAAGTGAAACATCCAAAGATGATGACACTGCCGCTGCGAGACTCACCATCTCCTCCACCTCCTCATAGACAGGAGTATCCTCGGCTGACCTGTTCCCCTCCAACAAGTCATCACGCAATGTGAGCACTCCACTGAAACCCGCAATAGAGGCTAAAACTGCAGGAGAAGACCAAGAGGTCGATCTCGAGAAATGAACCTCACAGGCAGCTCACTCATACGTCCATCACCGGACTCCCAACCAGGGCGATAAGCTGCCGTCTCCGTCCAATAATCCATCCGAAATCCCATCGGATATAACACCGCTCCACCAACAAGCACATCATATGACTCTGCTGATGTAACCACCGCTCGAACTCCAAACTGCGAACTATCCTGAGCATGACCATGCCTCAACTGCACTGATATGCGCTCTCTGGTCATCCTGTAAGACCTGTCGCTGGTGCCACCGAGTGATGTCTGAATCTGGAACGGACAAGGCTCCAACTCGGACCTCCGAACTCCCAAACTAATGCAGGCAATCTTGCCCAACATCAAGGGCTGTGCACCAGAATCCAGCAACACTCTGGCTGGGACATACACCTGCCCGGTAGCACTCACCAAGCGAAATACACCGCTCCGGTTGTCCACCATACACACACCACGGACAACCCTCTCCCGATCAATGGCTAGTCGGGCTGGCAAGGACTCCATCTGTGCCGCTGCCGCCTGCCATGTCGACTCATCGCTAAATGGAGTCGTAGAGGATAGCTCCTCACCAATAGTCTCGCCTATCTCGGCACTCGTAGCAGTGACACTCCCACGTTCACACAACGTGGCTGCTGCACGAAAAACCCGAGCCAAGTCAATCCCAGAGTCCATCAGCTCCATAGCTGAAAATAATGGGGATCTCATCACTGAGTTAGCCATCCGCGTCACTGCACTAGATGGTGTGTCCGTGTCCACCACACGTGACGTAGATGTCTCAGTCCTCCCACTAAGGCCACTAGGTGGTACAGGTCTCATGGATGAAGTACTGCCCACCTCTGACAGCAAAAACGACTGGGGAAGTCTGGCCTGACGCCCACCCTCACCCCTCTGAGGATCCAACTCCCCTGTCGCACCGCGTGGCTCTAGAGCTCGAGCTGCACCTCTAGTCACTGCAACCGATGCCTCCACCTGTGTTGCACTCGCTAGATAAGGGAAATCCTCTTCCTCGTAAGAGGTGGAAGTGCTCGCCCCAGAACTCGCCATAGCAGCAAGCCTCTGCTCCAACTGCTCAATACGAGCAGCCATCGCGCTCTCTGTAGCCGAAGTAGCACTCGCTACAGGACGTCCAACTACACCGGCACCTCGACCACCTCTACCAGCACGGCCACCTCGACCTCGAGAAGCATCACCACCACGACCTCTACCACCAGATGTCAACTCTGGATGAAGGTCAAAACACCGATCTCGAGTATGACCTGCTCGACCATAGTGGTCACACACCACCTGTGCTGACTGGGGTCTAGCCTGTGGACCCTGACCTCCAGCCTCCTGGGGACAATCTCTCCGCCGATGATCCCCTCCACATGTCCAACATGCTGGTCCCTGCTGCTGGCCAGCAAACGACAGCACTAGTGCACGTGCCCCTGTATCTCTAGCGGCTGTCTGGTGTCGTGTCTGCGCTCCGCGACCCCCACCACTACCACCACCAAAGGGTCTAGACTGTGCCGTGCTCTGCGGGACACGAGAGGTAGTGGCTGCGTCTCTAGCGAATGAAGAAGTCACCACTCTCTCCTCCACTATGTTAAGCTCAATCTTCTCAGAAAGAGCAAACACGTAGGCCAATGTCGGTGACGCATCGCTCAAGAGAGTAGCATCTCGAACCCTCCGCCGTAGCTCTCTGTCCAGTATCCTGTACCAATACTGGACCGCCTGTGCCTCAGTTACACCATGAGTAACTGAGATCAACCGCCGCATACGAGTGTATGCCTCCTGAAGACTCTCACCAGTCTTCCGCTCAAACTCCTGGAGAGTCCTCAACTTCTCCGTCCTCACCCCCTGATAGTTCTTCCTCAACCTCTTGAAGAACTCAGGAATGGGGCTGAACGAAGGTACGCAAGTAGTCTCTCCACTCGTGCTGGCAACGCCAACAGCACCGTTGGTGGTACCTGCTCCACTGGTACCATCGGTGATGCTACCACTCGCACCTTCACTGGTACCAACACCACCCTGGGTGATCGACGCATAGTTTGGAGACCAATGACGCCTCCATGCGTCAATCTCCACAGCATACTCTCTCCCAAACTCATGGTAGTCATCCATGGGAGGCCCCTCCAGATGCTGAAACAACCCCTTCCATGCAAAGAAGGGTGTAAACAAAGAGGGGTTACGCAAGAACTGCATATCGCACCACGTGTCAAACTCCTGGATGAAATCATCCAACTCAATGGTGCCCACTGCACCAGAGTACCGCCGTGGGCCCTTCATGGCCCCGTACATACCGTCCATGTCCCCAGTCCACGAGTGTGGGACCCTGGACGATATCACCACCAAAGATCCGCTATCTGCCACACTCCGCGCCTCTACACCCACTGATGCGCTAGGATGAGGTAGCCGATACCTCAACCCACTCCGCGTAAATCCTCCACGGTCCTCAACGGAACCCCCAAACTTCTCCGTGATGACTGACTCACCAATCGGCACCACTGCCACAACTCCACCTGCCCTCGTCCCTACACTAACCTGCTCTAGCCCTACTGACTATGGGTATGGGCAACCTAACCTGTCATCACCGCAAGAAGACTCTCCTGGTCCACTGGTCATCACTCTAGTCTCACCATGAGAGAAACAAAGATAGGCGCCGGTGATCAAATCCATCTGCACTATCGACAGCACACTAGAGTAAAACTACTCCAGAAATCAACGTCAACCCAGACATGGGCGCGTATCAAGAAGCCAGATTGGAGGGGATCCAAACACAAGCAAACAGCTAGCAACGACTCTCCAGCCGAAATGAAACACAGCACAGAACAACACAACACACGGGAAGTCGCCTCGCATAACGATCCCGAGTCGAGCTCCATCGCTTCCTTCCATCTTCCACCTCCCGCGCCTGCAACGCTATCTCGCTCATCCCGTCGCAGAAAAAAAAAATGACCTCCACGCCGAGCTATCCCGTACTTCACATCATACCTCCACTTCACACTACAAATAGAGGCGTCGAATATAACAAATATGAAAAGCCTATCTACCCTAACTGTTTGCCATAGGAAAAATACAAAATAGAGATAAAGCAATATTTTTACAACCAACAAACCATAGTAAGTGAGACGAGTACAAATTCTCAATCTCTTCAGAATTTTATTTTATTTTTTTCTTCTTCTTCTTCCCGCTTTTACTCTTCCTCTCCTTCCTTACTTCCTTCCTTTTTGTCTCTCTTGTCAACTCACATTGACTTCAGCAAAGACAATTCTGTCCGACGAATTTACAAGCCTACCTACAAATTCGGTTTGTAAAGAGCCACTATACTACTCCTGTTGATTAAACTTTCTATTACTATAATCTCAGGAACTCTAACTTACAAGAATTGTAGTTGAATATTCATTCTAGATACCTGGATACTGAACTGAGAATACATTGGATATCAACGTGACTACTGATTATTTCTTCGGACTCTCGGTCTTGTCGAGTTGATGAAACTCCTGCCGCCTGCTCCGCATGAACAACACCTTTCTTTCCTGATGGTCTTCCTTCAACAACCTTGCATGGGGAATGTACTGTCCCATTCTTCTCTGCTGCCTCACAATCTATCGCCTTCGTTAATGACTGTACGTTGACAGCGACAGGTTTGCTCGGGAGCAGCTGTCTTATAAGGTAGATAACGTGGCTAGGATCGATAGTCGATGTATCGAAAGGCCGAGACTCAAAGGGTCAACCTCCATGGTTCCATGGACACCATAATTAAAGTAGGGCAACTCCAGGGAGTGTCAAGTGGGTGACCAAGGGAGTGTCAAGTGGGTGACCAAGTAACTGCGTGTCATCAAGATACTCCGTAAATGCATATAAACGTCTAATGAGCCACTGCTTGAGCCAATCGATCTCTCCCTCCACCGACCATTCCAAGACGTTCTTCCGACAACCGAAGATCTCAAGAAACAAGTTCTGACCGCAAATTCACCTCACCGATAGATTACACCAGTTCTTCGAGTAAAATCAGTGTCGAAACACAAACTGTACATAGAGAGTCAAGCCAAACTCACAACCCGCAGGTAGAATCAGAGTCGAAGCTAGCAGGACTGACATATCCCTACGCGAAAGGCTCAACTCGAAGAACTGACAGTTCTTCGAGCTCGCCTCAAATATATCCCTGGAAGGTGTCGACTCCATCCAACGCTCCTCGCCCGTCTGCCGCGGCCCAACGTTAGCCGACTCCCAACGTTCCCCGACTCCAACTCGAACTCAACGTGTCTCCACTCAAATCGACCCAACGTCTCGAGCCATGACATAGTTCCAAAATTTTACATACAATTGTAAGTCTCAAAATTGAGACCAGACATTGGAATTCAAAATGTAAACACTGACGGCCGTGGAATCTTCAGCTACAATGGTTATCCGATACGAACATCTATTAACAATTGTAACTGCTAAGAACCTGCTATTTGATAAGGAAAGGAAAATCTGATATTTGATGACGATGAAGGAAAGGAAAAGGTCAGCGATGACTATGCCTGTTGCTATTCGTTTCCTGAATCATTATTATAATAATCACAACCAACGAGGTAATGAAAGCTCGATCTACTCCACGCTTAACTATCACCATGTAACTTGTCTTTGCAAAGCTTAGTTTCTCAAAAGCCTGCAGCATCAGGGAACATGAACTGTACGTGAGATCTTTGATAGCACAAAACTTTTCTATAATCACTTCAATTGCGCTGCAGTTCCGACATTTCAAAGCTAGAAGTTGTTTTTCAAGTCAGAGGTTTGAAAATTGTTTTCATTCATGATCTCCTGGGACAGTGATAATGATCAGTGTACATAACAGCTTTTGACCAATTGGAATCATGTGAACGACGTAAATCAACACTTTCAAGATTTCCCTGCGCATCCTAAATTGAATGACGCTTCAGAATGGAGAATTTCTTTCCAGGATGCTCAGCGTATATACCATTGACTCTACTGAGATCAGCAAAAGGCCGCACTCTTATTGATTAGAGAGATATGGCCCACAGAGGAGCCCTGAAAACAGACTGAATGAAGGGAGGCACGCTCACCTGGGCTATGGGCTCGTCGTTGTAGCAAATGGTGTAGTTGTTAGAAAAAAATTCGCGTTTCATTGTGAAGTCGGGCCTGCTCATGGAAATGTTTGTTCCCAGGAAAACATCGAAAGTTTTATTTAGCGGATTCAAACTTGACTTCTTCATGAGAAACACTGGTTGCTGGTCACCATTTGCCCTTATCGCTTCCCATGTTGGCCGCCACTCCCCTAGCTGATCATCAGAAGCAGCACAGCATACAAGTTAGTCATCTATGTGAATCATACTGCTGTCGGATTTCACCTAGTTCCGGTGGGTTTAGACAATTATATTGTTAACGAGAAGCAAGGTGTACATAGCGACATCTCGCTGTCAGGATTCCTAGGTCACATTGAGCGAACATCCATAGAGCTAGATCAAGACGGCAGAGTCCTGGAGGTCCGAGGTCAATTGAGACCTAGATGAACGGGTACTCTGGTCAGACAGAGAGGGCAGGAAACCCCCTGATCTCAATTAGTTTGTCCTTGCTGCTTCATGGGTACGAGATTTGACTGACTTTCTCTAAGAAACCTTCTCTGATCTATCGCACAGTGTAAGCATCTGACGAACAAGATTTACCTTCTTAGACACCTGGACAAGGGGCCTCTCCATGGAATCGCACACGGTATGCTTGGAGTGGAGACTGGCCCACTTGCGCTGCACTTGGAATAAGAGATAACCCTGCGTATCTTTGGCGGTAAACTTGCCACCATTCAACGTCAGCATCTTGCTCTCCACCGAGAACTCTGTCAAATGTGGAACACAATAACTCGTGCTCACAGGCGCCGGTATGTCAGGCGTGGAGGTCGCCATCGCTGCAAATTCGTCCGTTCTCCTTAGCCGATTGAATGGTTTGTCTGAATTTTCTATCCACTGAAGCTCAGTAAGAAAACTTGTAGATTTTCGATGTCTGAATGTTTTGTGCACTGAAGCTGCGCAGGAAAGGTCAGATGTTTTCTGTCTGTTTGTATGTACACTGAAGCTCAGCAGGGAAGGTCGGATGTTTTCGCTGTCTGGGTTTTCTATCCACTATAAGTGACCAGGAAAGGTTATATAAGTTCTCTCGTTCGGCTGCCTCGGTGTACCAGTCGAATCCCCTGTGCAAATTGTTATTTTAAAAGAAGGTCGTCTGTTACAACAAGGAAAACCAAAAAATTTATATGACCAACCAATTAATTTTTTTGTTGGTATTTTTTTAGGATTACTTATTGAAATTCCAAAATTTAATGAATCAATTACTTCGAAGTTGCTACGAAGGCTTTCAGTTAAATATTCGTCGCTGGCAGAGGCGGTCAATCGATCGGTCGGGAGAGCAAGTCCGCCTTAAGTGACAAAACTCGACATGCTGCTCTCGATCAATCATCACCCGGTCAACCTTGTTTGACACAGAAAGTGGAGACGCGGCTACGTGCTTTGTATGAGATCCATTAGAGAACGCCTTCGAGGGGAGCTGCTGTCCAGTCCACATTCCGAGAAGTAAATGGGAAGTCCAATTAAAGAGAATTGAGAACGTACTCCAAAGGGTAACAAAATGCCTTCACGCGTCCATTTGGAAGCGGTCTGGTCAGCCCCCCGTGTCATCCCTTCCCTTCTCTTTGCGTAATCTGCCCATAAACGACTTCTCTGCTTACACCATGACGGCTCATGCCTTGCAGCCCGATCCGCTGCAACCTCGAAGAGGATGAAACGCAAATCGATGGTGCCTGTGCGGAGGGTCCAGAGAATCAGAAACTTCGATGGCTAAGGGCCCATGCGCAAGGGTAAACCCAAGGAGGAAATTGTCCAAATTGACACCAAGAGGCTGATGGACGAACGAATCGACCTTGCGCTGCAGAGGAGTAAGGCCGAAATTAGACACTCGAGAGGTTAAAAAACTGCAAATCCCACTGTGCAGCCGGAAGAAGCAAGGGTGAAGAGCCCAGTGAGCCAGTCAACAGGACTCCTTGATCTGAGGAGCTCCATGAGCAGGCCGGAGCGAAACTGGTCTTCACTGCTGGAGAGGAACATGGCGACCTCGGTGAAGTCCCAGACCCACAATCTATACGTACTTGCCCGTTCCTTGCTCGATACACTCTTGCCGTTTGTTTCTTATTCAAGTCCTCACCTTGTTCCACTTCCATTTGCTACATTGCGAGCCAATATCTTCTTCGAGCGTTCTGAAACCAGGAACAGAGAGCTCAACCTGTTGTTATGGTTCTAGCGGCTGAGGGTTGGCAGGAATCTGGAGAGTGAGCTAGGTAGTAGATTCTATGGTGCATACTTTGAGCTCACATCTGTCTGTAAGGTACGAGACGAAGCATTTATGGGCAGGGCAGAAGCGTTCCACTGTTGGTTTTGGTCGCGTTCGGAGTGCTGGCAGTTTTAGTAGAACGGGTATTGGCCACAGGTTTTCATGTGGGTGGTACTTACGGTTGGGATGAATTATAGTTAAATACCCTTTACTTTTTCTAACATTATTCAAGTTATTCTCATAGAATACAAAGTAGTGTTGTGGACTATAAATCGCGATGAAATAAATGTTTTTTAATTTTTCTTATATTAATTTCAAATTTTTTTAGAAATATACTTTCCAAAATGAGTATATATGTATATTTCAATATCTGTCTAATCTATGTTTCAATTCGGGTTTTTCAACTTTTAAAATGATATAATTTTTCAAAGAGTTAAGTTTTTGAAAAGTATCTGCATATATCATTGGAAATATTAAATAACTCATTAGAACTATGAGTTCCAACATCCAAGATTTGACTATCATGATACAACGTTCAAACAAATAGTGAATCAACTTATCTCTTAAAAGTGTTTTCTACTTACTACTCATGTAACTTAGACTAAAATGCAAGACAATTCAGTTCAAATTTTAATAAAGTTGACTTCAACACAAATGGTAATGACTCCTAGCAGGTATAAATTGTTTTATTTATGAAGTATAATCTTATCATATATTCCCATCTTGTGAACTACCCTTCCCAGATTTCCATTCAAGACATTTTGAAAATAACATTCCAAAAAATATCAATCTTTTATGTCAAGAATAAATCTAATTTGAGTCAATGTATGTTGAAATGCATCAAAAATTTCAATTTTAACACATCCAATATACTCAATTGTAATGAATTCATCATCCTCATAAGAATTTCAATAATGAAAAGTACAAAAGATCTCTTAAAATGTAACAAATATGATAAAAACAAGAACCATAAAAAATCCATACATTACCAATATCTTTTATTGCATTGCATAAAGAATAACTCTATCGTCATAGTTCATTGTGGAGCAAGTATTTTTACTTGAGATTTTTGATATTTTCTTTTATTAGCTCACTACAATTGGTTCTAATATTGCTTCATTTGTGTAATCGGTTAAAGAATTATGTGAATTCAAAGTTGACTATTTTTTTTCTTTTAAGAGATTTTTAGTACTGCAAATGTCCAATTGAAAAAACTTGCCCAATTCTCAGCTAGACTTTTGTCTAATGATAGTCTAGAAACTATTTTAAAATTTTTGTTAAAGAATATCGAGAGTATATTCATCTTTTGTGTCCGTGAAAAATGGAAGAGTGGAAGATGTGCTCGTAGCTAACAATCTAAGATAGTCATCTTCATATCTTACAATTTACGATAGTCATCTAACTCCTGGACTAGTGAGGTTTTTTGGCTGAAATTATTCTTGAAGGTTTCTATACTTATATGATATAAGAAATCAGAAAACGTTTTTTTGACTGAACTAATTTTAGAATTGTTTTGGGCAAAATCTGTGTGATTGTTATTACTAATTGGTGAATTGGATGACGAGGTTTTTGACTTTTTGAAGATGAGCTTTGGATTTTCTAAAATATATATTTTTAATCTTGCTCTGAATATTCTATTGTGAATTTGTGTTTAATTGATGGAGAAGTGAGAAATGCGGCAGCACATATCACTCTATTAGGGAGATTAGTTTGCCAAGTAGAATTAAATATTTGGTGTATGTTGCATGATTTAAAGTGTATTATTTGACCTAAGATATTTTGGTTGTTTTGATTACGCAGGATATAAGCTTATTATCAATTTTAGCAAGATGTTATTGTTAGCTAAAGTTAGATCAAATAATGTGAAAAAACTTGTTTGAGCTTTAAATGTTTTAGTGCTAGCAACCCCATGCTCGGCGTCTTCTTGAAATCTGTTGTTTTTCCCTTAACATTTTTTTCAATACAATCTTATGTACATATAATAGTGCTGTTGTGAGATCTAGAACTCATGTATATGAGTTTGTATTAGATCTCCAAAACGTTTAATTTTGAAGTTGAGCATTGGATAGTGTAGCTAGTGGAGGAGTAACCTAGAATACATGAGGCGTGAAATGGGAACACCCAAGTGTAAATTGATCTTTCATTTAGTATCGATGACTGCCATTATATGATTAACGCTCCGAGAGTAGTTTAAATTATGAAACACTTATATTGATGTATGAGAGTATGTGTATTGTGAAGTTTGATGTGAGAATGATGTAAATTTTGATGCAAAATGAATGTGCATAACACAACTCATATGAGCTTGTTTCGACCTATAATCTAAATCAAAAAAAATATTCTCAACATTGAAATAGCCAAATGATACATCCAGGTAGATTTCTGTGTCCAAATGTTCATTCAAGAAGATCTAAGAATAGAATCAAATAGAAGATCTTCCTTCTATTTCAAAAATGAATTCAAAAATCTGCAATTGTGAGCTTGCTCACTGAAAAGTTAGTTACAAATAATACAAAATACATTCTTAAATAATAACGTATGCCTTTTGTTCTTAATTTTTTCCTCCATAAAATAGCACTACACTTTCCACCCCAAAAATTGAAGTCTACTGATCTTTTTTACTTCTACATATCTCAACGCTCTACTTCATGCTTTGCAACATATCACTCTTGCATGAGAGCTGCGTGCTGAGTATAAATATCAACCAGAAAAAGTTTATATTTCTGAAACTTTTCCCAACATTCTTATTGCTGAGATCTATGTCTTCTGAAATATACTTATCATCTGATGAAACTTCCTCCATCAAGTTGGCTATCACTCTCCTTTACCCTTCTTTTGTGCTCATCAAATTTGACATTCCACTCAAAAAGCATGAATCTTTTTTCTGGCAAATTCTTTCGTATAACAAAATTTAATTTCTTATTAAATGAATAACAAAGAAGTGCATGTTTTTTTTCCTTGTGAAACAATCCTCTATCCACAATTTCTTGTTTTATAAGCAAGAGAAGTCATTCTTTTACTAATCTTTCAAACCTACTTGTATAAACATACTCCCTTCATACTTGTTTATCTAGCATAAAACGAAATGTAAAATGATGGACTCACACTTGGAAGATTATCAAGCATATGCAACTCTGATTTAAAGATTAACTATCATATTCTAATGAATCAGGAGTAAAATTGTGACTTATGATGTTCAAGAACAAAATTTTTATTCTCAAGCTTTAATATATGCAAATAATTCTATTTTGCTTGCAGATATGAGTTTGAGCTCGATATTTTATGCAAAAGAAATATACTTCAGTATCTCCAAGTTGCAAATGTCGAGTGTACACTCCAGAACTCTCAAAGAGAAAAGATGATTGTATTGAAAAATCTCATCCTTGAAGATCTGCTCTATGTTTAGATTAACCTTAGTTCTAGAACCAATAGAGTACGAAAATTTCTTCCATATTTCTAGATTATTCTATGCAGTTGAGTAAGTTGAACTTCTAAACTTTTCAATCGTATCTAACCCAATGTGGTGCCATAATATTTTGATTTCAAAATATTATGGCACCACATTGGCTTAGGTACGATCATTTTTAGAGTTTTATATATAATAATCATTCTTTTATGACATTTTACTATTGCAGACATTGTGAAAACTCTTACAACCCTCTCTACTCAACTGAATATGAGCATTAATAACAGATCAGAATCCTCTAGCAAGCATCTTACATAACTTATTCTAGATTGACTAGAAATCCATTGAAATGCTCACTCACAAGTTAACAATATCAACATTCAGACATTATATCAGATTATGCTCGATGAATGATCAATGGAAAAGTTATAATTTTGATTCATGAAACTTTACTGGATCCAAATTTTACATACAGTTTTCAGTCTCAAAATTGAGACCAGATATTGGAATTCAAAATGACAACACTGATGGCCGTGGACTCTGGAGCCACAATGGTTATCCGATACAAACATCTATAAACAATTGTAAATAACAAGCAACTGCTATTTTAAAGGATCATTTTCCGTAATCTTTATTATAAAAATCACAACCAACGAGGTAATGAAAGCTCGATCTACTCCAGGCTGAATTATCACATTGAAAAGTGTCCTCATAAAGTTTCGTTGCTGAGTAGCCTGCAGCATCAGGGAACATGAAATGTGCGTGAGATCTTTGATAGCACAAAACTTTTCTTCAATCACTTCAATTGCGTTGCAGTTCCGACATTTCAAAGCTAGAAGTTGTTTTTCAAGTCAGAGGTTTTAAGATTGTTTTCATTCATGAAGTCTTGGGACGGTGATATGTGATCAGTGTACATAAGAGCTTTAGACCAAGTGGAATCATATGAAAAACGTAACTAAACACTTTCAAGATTTCTCTGCGCATCCTAAAGTGAAAGACGCTTCGGACAGGAGAATTTCTTCCCAGGATGCTCAGGGTATATACCATTGACATTCCTGAGATCAGCGAAAGGCCGTACTCTTATTGATTAGAGAGAAATGGCACACAGAGGAGCCCTGAGAACAGACTGAATGAAGGAGGCACGCTCACCTGGGCTATGGGCTTGTCTTTGTAGCAGATGGTGTAGTTGTTAGAAAAAAAATCGCGTTTTATTGTGAAGTCGGGCCTGCTCATGGAAATGTTTGTTCCCAGGAAAACATCGAAATTTTTATTTAGCGGATTCAAATTTGACTTCTTCATGACAAACACTGGTTGCTGGTCACCATTTGCCCTTATCGCTTCCCATGTTGGCCGCCACTCCCCTAGCTGATCATCAGAAGCAGCACAGCATACAAGTTAGTAATCTATGTGAATAATACTGCTGTCGGAATTCACCTAGTTCCGGTGGGTTTAGACAATTATATTGTTAACGAGAAGCAAGGTGTACATAGCGACATCTCGCTGTCAGGATTCCTAGGTCACATTGAGCGAACATCCATAGAGCTAGATCAAGACGGCAGAGTCCTGGAGGTCCGAGGTCAATTGAGACCTAGATGAACGGGTACTCTGGTCAGACAGAGAGGGCAGGAAACCCCCTGATCTCAATTAGTTTGTCCTTGCTGCTTCATGGGTACGAGATTTGACTGACTTTCTCTAAGAAACCTTCTCTGATCTATCGCACAGTGTAAGCATCTGACGAACAAGATTTACCTTCTTAGACACCTGGACAAGGGGCCTCTCCATGGAATCGCACACGGTATACGTGGAGTTGCGATGATTGGTCTTCTTGTGCTCTATTTGAAACAAGGTTCGCTCCTCCGAATATTTGGCGGTAAACCTACTACTATACTGCGTCAATGCAAATTTCTCCACCGAAAACTTGTCCACATGGTCATAACAAAACTTCGTGCTCACAGGCGCCGGTATCTCAAGCGTGGAGGTCGCCATCGCTGCAAATTCGTCCGTTCTCCTTACACGAATGAATGGTCTGTCTGAAATTTCTATCCACTGAAGCTCATAAAGAAAACTTGTAGATTTTCGCTGTCTGAATCTTCTTTCCACTGAACCTCCGCAGGAAAGTTCAGATGTTTTCTGTCTGTTTTTTTATACACTGAAGCTCAGCAGGAAAGGTCGGATGTTTTCTGACTGGATTTTCTATCCACTGAAGCTCAGCAAGAAAAGTCGTACGTTTTTCTGTCTGTGTTTTCTATCCACTATAAGCTCAGCAGGAAAGGACATATAAGTTCTCTCGTTCGGCTGCCTCGGGACGCGTCCACCAGTCAAATCCTCTGTGCTCGTAGCAAGTTGCAACGAAGGCTTGCAGATGAACATGCGTCGCTGGCAGAGGCGGTGAATCGATCGGTCGGATTAGCATGTCCGCCGTAAATGACAAAACTCGAATTACTGCTCTCGATCATTTATCACCCGGTCAACCTTGTCTGACCCGGAAAGTGGACAGGCAGTACATGCTTTGGATCAGATCCATTAGAGAACGCGGTCGAGAGGACCTCCCGTCCGTTCCACATTCCGAGAAGTAAACGGGAAGTCCAATTAAAGAGAATTGAGAACGAACTCCAAAGGGTGACAAAATGCCTTCACGCGTCCATTTGGAAGCGGTCTGGTCAGCCCCCCGTGTCATCCCTTCCCTTCCGTTGGCGTCGCCTGCACATGAAATGACTATTCTGCCTTCGCCTTGGACTGCTCATGCCTCGCAGCCCAATCCGCTGCATTCTCGAAGAGGATGAAACGCAGATCGATGGTGCCTGGGCTGCGGAAGGCCATGAGAATCAGGCTATTCCATGGCTCAGAGCCCGTGCGCAATGGTAAACGCAAGGAGACATTTGTCCAAATTGACACCAAGAGGCTGAAGGACGAACGGATCGACCTGAGTTGCAAAGGAGTAAGGCCACTGTGGATGATATCCACAGTCCACAGTCGAGCCTTCGAAGTCGCAGTCATGAACTATCCGACGTGCAGTGCAACCCATCGAGCAGTGGCAGTGGCAGTGCATGGCTTGGATGAGCAGCTGGCCTTGCCGAGGGCAAGCCAGGCCAGTTGCACCCAGCAGCACCAGTTGCCGGCCTTAGACACTCAGGAGGTAAAAAGACTGCAAATGCCACTGTGCAGCCGGAAGAAGCAAGGGTGAAGAGCCCGGTGAGCCCCAACAGGACTCCTTGATCTGAGGAGGTCCACCAGCAGGCCGGAGTGAAACTGGTCTTCACTGCTGGCCACTGTGGAGTCCCAGGCCCACGATCCATACGTACTTGCCCGTACTTTTCTCTGTAAACTTCGTGCCGTTTGTTTCTTATTTGGGTCGTGGCCTTGTCCCTCTTCCATTTGCTGCATTGCGAGCCAGTGACTTCTTTGAGCGCTCTGACAACAGCAGTAGAGAGCTCAACGAGTTCGTTATGGTTCTAGCGGCTGAGGGTTGGAAGGAATTAGGATAGTGAGCCACGTAGTATATTCTGTAGTGCTTACTTTGAGCTCACATCTGTTTGTAGGGTACGAGACGAGGCATTTATGGCTCGCCAAGGCAGAAGCATTCCACTGTTGGTTTTGGTAGCGTTCGGAGTGCTGGCAGTTTTAGTAGAAAAGGCATCGGCCATGGACTTTTATGTGGGTGATACTACTGGTTGGGGTGTGCCTAATGAAGCAACCACTTATCAAGATTGGGCTTCTAACAAAACTTTCCTCGCGGACGATGTCCTCGGTATGAAATTCTACCGCACTCGAGTAGTTTAGCATTCATTTAAGTCATCATTTCGGCTGATGGCAAAGGCCGTGGAAATGCATGCACACGGATAGCGGAGAATCAAGTTTACCAGTCATGGCCTGCTGAATAGAATTGGGTTTGCCGCCCGAAGATTGAAGCATTTTGATGATTTGTGGAGAGAAAGGAGCGAAATCAGCATGAAGGTCGACTTTTTCCCTTCCTGGAAGCCATTTTGGATGAATATGTGACTGCATGATTCGGGGACTCTAGACGTTTATATGATAAAGTCTTGATAGGAGGATGGTCTAGAACTACTAGTAGAATTTTTCCATAAATTTGGTTGTGAGGTTCTCAGGCAGGTCTGGGATTGCTGAGTAGCGGCAGAATTACACACAATTACTGTGATTTTCTGTTGTGCAGAAAATTCAAGAGAGTGCCTTATTGACTTCAATTGACGCTTTGTGTTCTGTCACCAATGGCTCGATCTTGCAGTCTTCCAGTATCAGCAAGGAACCCACAACGTTTTGCAAGTGTCGAAGAAATCCTTCGAAAACTGCACCATCTCTAGCCCCATCGACAAGTTCGAGAGCGGTAATGACAGGGTCACTCTGATCGACTCCGACTATTATTTCATTTGCGGCATTTCCATTCACTGCACGCTGAACCAGAAGCTGCACGTCATAGTGTCGAACAAGTCCGAGGTTCCTGCACCACCATCGAGTCCTCTTTCACCGCCACCAAAAGCATCCCCATTACCACCTCCAGGCTCATCAGCTTCCGCGCTTCAACCTGCAGGAGCTCTAATTTCCATTTTGATGATGGTTGGAATTGCTTCTCTTGCGTTGTGAGGAGTTCGGGAATTTCGAATAGATTAGTATATGTCCAATCTAACTCTACCAATGGAATGGCTCAACTTTGAAATTGCCATCTCACAACGTCCCCACTTCATATATCTCTCCCTCTCGTTTCGGAGTCCTCTAGGAGACTACCATTAGTAGACAATTCTCACATTTTTACGCGAATCCGATGCAAATGTTCATGATTACATCTGTTTAGCTCGGATTCAGCATCAGAGCCGAGAGACAAAGGTTCAGATACAAATTATTCAAGCCCGATCGAGGTAAACTAGAGTACAGAAATTTAGCTGACATTTAGCAGGAGAAATGTTTGGAATTAGTTCTAAAGTATTTAACATCACAGGCACAACTGGTCCTTATATATCGATAGAGATTTACCGTGGCGCGTATCGTCAGATATTTTCGACGGTGATTTTGGCGTCTGGCAGACTCGGAATTTTTGCTTAATGTCCATTCTACGATCGAATAATGTTAAAGAACGACTTTTGAATCTTAAGCCATTCAAAGTTAGCTTTGTTAAACCTTCAAAATAAATCTTCTCTGAAATGGACAGTATTGTTAACGTTGATGGTTCGAAATTGTCGGGGTCTAACATCCAAATATAATTTATTTCGAAGAGTGTATCTTGAAGATTGGATTACAGAGTTGTAGTGAAGTGTAAAGCTTGTAAGATGATTTAGTTGATTGCCAGGAGATGAAATTTTCGTGTATTTATCATATTGTAAATAATAAGAAGGTTCTGGAATTAGATTTAATCATAAGTTTATATGCAATTAACATATTTCCAAATTTGTTTAAGTAAAGGAATCAAATGCCGTGCAGAGTACATTTCGTTTTGATTTTTCGTTTCACCTGACTATTCGGACACGTTTTGTTGATAATGTTACTCTGTCAAAGTAGACAGACAAATAACTTTGACAACTTCTGTTAGAGAGTACATAGAGATATGACCTCACGGTCGTGAAGAGAGGAGGGTTTTTTTGGCAGAGGTGTCCTGTGGTCAAACTGTGGTCAAACTGTACATATTGTTGACATTCTGAACTTGTCAACAGCTTGCTACTGCACACATGTTGATTTTCAATGGAGATTTCGTTAATCATAAGAAGAGAAATTTCATAGGATGAATGTCCACATGACAATCAAGGACTGCGCCTACATACCGAAACTATTGATTGGCTGATATATGTCGGGATGTTCACGTTGAAACTCAACTCTGCACCGATTCTTTGAGTAGAATTCTACCTTGCGGTATTGCAACAGTTCAAATTTCTAGATTGCACAAATTGCGGAAGTACAGCTTATATTACAGGTTACGACTGAATGTCGTTCGGGTCCCCTAATCACATCGATCTTCCAGTGAACAAGTCAAATGGCTATACAATCGTGGAGTGCTCTAATGGATGAGAGGTCCTTGTCGAATCATTTCGTCGATGATCAAAGCAGCAAAGCCGATCATGGCCAGGCGCCCATTCCAGCGCTCCGCTCGTGCATTGAATGGGCCGAAGCTCCTGGCGTCGGTCGATTCTCCGTTCATTATGGGCACCATCGAGGCGTACGAGATGAGCTGGACAGCTGCGACGAAGAAGACCAGACCGGAGGTGGCTGGTCGGACGATTTGCTCCATAACTGTCAGCCCCGTGAGCTTCTCGGCGCAGAGGGCCCACACGAACCCGAGCATTGCCTGCAGCAACCGTGAAAGACGCAAAGGAGTAAGTTACACGCTGATGAAAATTCTCGTGCGTTTATTCCAGTCACGAGAACTAATCGTTCTCGAAGTTCGCAATTTTCATCGTCATGGCTGTCGTCAAAGTGAGCAAAGCAAGAGTGTAAAGGACTTCTCGCCGTGCAGGCACTACATGCCGCACAATGAGACTGACGTCGCCCGATTCTGGTCAACGACGGCGTGCATGATGCCGTAGAAGAATCTGTTAGGCAGCAGTGCAATGCTGGGACAACTCGCCAGAGAATCGAATACTCACAAGTCGTCCATTGATAGTTTCCGGCGCAGCTCCATCGAAGGCGAACACGCTACCGAACGATCGGGAACCGGTCTCAGGACGCCTCTCGATTTCTGGCCGTGGGAAGAACGAGCCAGAACTAGGAATCGCCCCAAAAACGGACTGCTTCTCGGACTGATTCTCCTGCTGGTTGCGCAGAATGTCTTCCTCGGTGATCGGTCTCTTGCTGACCTTGTCCACGGCTTCTTTCAGCCCACCGAATGGGCCGCTTCCATTGTGATTGACCTGGCAGAGAACGACCAACCTTCTGGTCGAACCTGCTGAGCCTGGCGATGGCATAATCGGGACAGCCTTATTGCTCAAGGCTGGAATGCCCCTCAAACACATTGTCGCTGCCATGATCTGATACTGGGAACTCTTAGATAATGCGAAGACAGCAGATGGCTGCACCACTTCTTATGTCAAGATAAAACGTAGACCAGAACGTTCAGTCACAAATCAATTGTGTAATGTTGATGCCAGCAGGAGTATGAAGAGCGTGATTGAGGAGGTTAGTGTTAATGGAATCTGAGCTTCACGGTCTCTTATATTCCAATCCCTCACTCACGTTCTGCAGTGACACATCCATTCGTTCCATCAGAATTGCCAACCCGCACATTTACCAGGTGGCGGGCATCGCACCTGCCATTTGGGTGACAGTCAGTGATACTCGACCTCACGGTCTACAATGGGACAAGTATCAGTCCAGAGTTGATGTGGCAGCATTCTCGTTCCAACGCGCAGCGCAGCTTGGACTGGGCTCATCAGAACAAGGACGATGCTGACGTCCTAATTTCAGATCATGGAACCTGGAACTACAAAGGGGTCGATGGAGTTACGAATCTCTTCGTCAGCCGTCAAGAGACTGAGGTCGAGGAGGCGTCGAGGACGACGTCAGATTCTCATGCTGCCAACATGATTGGCTGATGGACACATGCTGGAACCAGCACACATGTGGCCATTTACCATTTACCGTCTTATCTTCGCGTTCCAAGAGAGGCTACACTCGTCAGTTGCAAATGTTTCATAATTAGGTGAAAAGCAAAGTGCATTACTTGCGCTCGGTATGTCACCGAAGTGGAAATAAAAGAAGGGAAACAAGCTGAAGATCATTCAAAGGCGTGGCTGAACGAAGTTGCTAAGTAGCGAGATATTTTGATCGCCGAGGTTATTCTTGGCGTGCAGTATCTAGCCAAATATCTTGCATTCTGACAATGGGTCATTGTCAGAAAGAAATTTCTACCTAGAGTTTGGAACTTGATTCTCGGCAATGTTAAAGGTTGTCTTGGTTGCAAGCCCTTGCATGTAAATTGTGGTGAAGATACAAATCAAATTGTTCGATGGCTTTTTATCTGCGGATTTTGTGCTGATTAGATGAAGAGGTGAACAAGTTTGTCGGACTAAAGTATATGGTTTATCATTCTTTTCTCCTTTTTTCGAAAGATTTTAAATTTTTTCAAGAGTATTCATTTATATATTTTGATTTCTACTTTTCAGTCGTGGAGATCTGAAGATGCCTGCGATTAGAGGAAACTGTATTATGAGTATTATCAAAAACTCACACTTTAGTTCTTACATCCAAAACTTGTCAATTCAATACACCATGGACGACAACCAGAAAAGATCAATTTCCACATGCTTGTATGTTGACGTGGCACTTGTTTTAAGTGCGGAGGAGTTCTAAACATAATTTTCCAAACGCCAAATACACCGATTTGCTTTTAGTAGAGCTGCATTTCGTGCAATGTATTCTCCGGCTTCATGAGTTGTTTTATGCGTGTGACAATGTGCTTTTTTGTCACAACCAATAACATTCAAATACTCAATATGTAAGTGATACCATGTATCATAGTAAAGTATGATACAAATATTAGTTCACACATTTTTTAGTTTGATTGTATTGAAAAGTCATTTGTTATATATATTATTGGTAAAATAGAGATATCTATCATATCTACCATTTTACTTTACATTCAGTACATTTTAAAATAATTTCAATTCAGTAGAATAGAATGGTATTTTTTAAATGGCTAGTATGCTAGAAAAGATAGGAGACTTTAATTAAAAAAGGTTTTTCCCAACTAAATAAATAGGAATAAAAATTAATTATTTTTACTGACTACTTTCACCTCCACAGTTGTGTGATTTATATTTTTCAGTTGTATATCAAAGATCATTCAAATATAGACTTAGAATTATTTGTGGTACGGTCTTTTCCATATATAATAATAATAGAGCGGAGCGTTTAGTTATCTCTCACTTTTGGCTAATTATCCATCATCCTACTATATTCTCTTCTGAAAAAGTATGTGATTGGTCAAATGACAAGGCGGTAATATGGTTTTCGCGGGGTAGTACTTCTAAAATAGCGACTTCTGCTATCTAGACAAAGGTGGAGGTGCTTGGGCACATAAAAGGCACGACAAAGGTACAAAGCATATATCCCCGACTGCACCAAGGTTGAATGGGTACGCTTTTACAATGCCAGTCAAGAAAATGGCCGCTCAATCACTATACTCATCACACGACAAAGGTACAAAGCATATATCCCCAACTGCACCAAGGTTGAATGGGTACGCTTTTTCAATGGCAGTCAAGAGAGTGGACATTCAATCACTATTCTCATCACACTACAAATGTACAAAGCATATATCTCCGACTGCACCAAGGTTGAAGGGGTACGCTTTTTCAATGGCAGGCAAGGGAGTGGCCGCTCAATCACTATTGTCATCACCCTACAAAGGTACAAAGCATATATCCCCGACTGCACCAAGGTTGAAGGGATACAATTTTTTAATGGCAGTCAAGAGAGTGGCCGCTCAATCACTATTCTCATCATTGAAGAGTTCCCGACGAAAGATTAGCGACTCTAGAATATCCAGCAGGCCTCGGTATGGAGAAATGATGTGGTTGAAGTCGCAGCGTGTGCTTGATCACGTTGTGACTTCCACCACATCATCTCTTCGGACTCCTTTGGATTCTGCAGAATATCCCAGATCAGTGTTTCGTTAACATGTTCCCGGCATACTACAAGAACCTCGATTTTCATCCTTCTCACTCCAGCTTGGCTGTAATCCGACGTTTCCGTGGGATAAAAGGAATTTGCAAGATGAGAAACTCAGGTGTGGATGGTTATAGTTAAAGTTACTTGGATGGTCATAGTTAAAGTGCAAGTGTTGTTATAACACTTTTCTTATTTGCTTGATCACACTTGAGGAACGGCAGAGCGGTAAAAAAACTCCGCCAACTCATGGAGAAGTTTTTTTTTCTTTTTTAATATTAGAAATAGCATCCAGCCACCCCACGAAAATTGTATTATAGTTTTTCAATAGTCAGTCACAAACTTTTAGTGTGAGGGTATAATTAGCCAAAAGTGAGTTGATAACTAATCTCTCTCTGATAGAGATATAGAAACAGATATCACAAGATAGAATGCTGAATTTGGATTTAGCTAGAATATTTGTATAATCTGTCTTGGAAGTAGACAATTATACATGTGATGGGAACAAAAGATTTGATATTTCTTGAGATTTTTGTTTTGAAACTATTGTGAGTAAACGAAGTGAGTTGAATTGCCTTGGAATGAATTTTTGATTTATATTCCTTCAGTTGGAGATTTGTCATTTCTTAAGATGGAAAAGCATGATTGAGTTCTCAATGTGGGCAAAAGTCAAATAGACGAGAGATAATCATATAAAGCATGTGGGTACATGCTTAGTCAAATTATTGATACATGTACAGAATGTTAAGCAAGACGAGAACAAACCTGAGTACAAACATACTTTACACTTCCTGAGACTAATCTATAAGATCATGTACAATGACCAAAGATCTAATGAATCCACCCTGAAACCAGAGCAGAGAGATCCATGTGCCCTGAAAACCCAGATACGCAATTATCGAACATCAGCCTCACTGAAACTTAGCGGGCTCACGAAGAAAAAGAAGACCATATTGATGATTCACAGTCGTTTCAGCTGTGTTTCCGCCGTCAGGGATCTCATTGATTTGGATTGAGAGGTTTGGCATTTCAGTGGATGAGGGGTCCCTGACGAATTATCTCGTCAATCAGCAAAGAAGCGAAGCCAATCATGGCGAGTCTCCCATTCCAGCGCTCCGCCCGAGCATTGAAGGGACCCCAGCTCCTGGCATCTGTGGATTCTCCATTCATGATCGGTATCATGGATGCATAAGTGAAGATTTGAACTGCCCCGACGAAGTAGACGAGGCCAGACGTAGCTGGGTTGAAGATTTGCTCCGCCACTGGCAGACCAGTGAGCTTCTCGGCGCACAGAGCCCACACGAACCCCAGCATTGCCTGCAAGGTACACGTATTAAAGTACTGAATGAGACCATTGACCAACACACATGCGGCAAGCGATTATAAAACATCTGGGGGATGGTTCGAGGCTTCGTAATTTAGAGACGAGACGAGCGACAAAGTGCAGACACTGCCATTTCAGGTCTATGATGGACAATTACGAGGTGATTAATCGAGCACTACACCCACCAGTCGCCCATTGATGGTCTCTGGCGCAGCTCCGTCAAATGCGAACACACTAGTGAAGTACTGAGATCCAGTCTCGGGACGCCTTTCAAGCTCCGGGCGGGGATAGAAAGAACCCGAACGTGGGACAGCCCCGAACACGGACCGCTTCTCTGATTCATTCTCCTCCTGGTTACGAAGAATGTCTTCCTTTGTGATGGTGGACTTCGTGGCCCTGTCGACGGATGCTTTGAGTCCACTGAGCGGGCTCCTGTTATCTTGATTAGCTTGGCACCGTACGAGGAGTCTTGGGCTCTGCAGGGTAGAACTTTCAACAGGGAGTGCCGTGAGCGCCTTGCCTTTCGAGTATGGCATGCTCCTGATGCTCATCATCGCTGCCATATTCACTACACTGAAGTGTGAGATGTAAAATTAAGAGGTTTCAGGTTACGACTTGCTGAAAGGTGCAAGGCACGTGCTATGGACACTGGATATTGAACTACAAACTCGAGCTTTTTGGCGATCTACAAGAAAAAGAGACTACAGTATGAGACTTGAATGTGATGTCTGGAGGGCTGCGTTGACTTATTTATACCAATTCTGGAGATCGCTCTCACGTCCAGGAGTGTACTTTTTCTCATGCACTAATCAAAGTCCTGCAGTTTGTTGTCCGAGGTGTCACTAGAATTTGTGTGCCATTTGGCTGCCTCTCCGTAGTTCTCAACCGTATGGTTAAAAGAGAAACATGTCTCCGAGTTTTATCCTCCATGCGTCACTGTCTCAAGTAAAAGGACCATCCTTGGCGAAGGAAAATTTGGTACTCCGCCACCGGAAAGGAGCACTTTTCCTGCAGGAAGGTTTTAACGCTACCACCATGATTTCCTTTTCTTCCGATCTGGAGGGTTTTGAGACCAGAATTGTCCTGCAGGATGAAAGGCGGAAAGTGGAAAAGAGGGAATCCAATAGTTCTCAAGCCGTACGATCAAGGATTCGAATCAGCACCGCAAATATTATTCTTCCGAACACCTGAAAGCTGAATTTCTCTACGTCCATATGCTTTTCACCTGCAATTAGACTGATCTTTAGTGCATCAGGCGAGTGAAGTTCATGGGCTAATCCGGTAGATAACTAGCTGCACGCGTTCATTCTCATCTGTACAGGCCCCGGAAAGAATAAACCACCCACAAACAAAACACCGTATGGGGACATGACCTAGAGGCGTATGTAATATTGTTATCGGCGGCATGTCTGAGATTTACAGATACATTCTATATCACATCATTTACAACTCGGATCATGATGGTGCAAACTAGGTTTTATGGGCATGATGTGATCTTGACGACTTCCAGGCAGTAGCTGCGGAACACCCCAGCAGTTCACATGATGCTACGTGAATAACACTTCAGATTACCATAGTGTCATGTGTTCCTTGGTGTAGCGGTAATTTTTCTCGAGACAGCATGGAGCTCGAATTTTGCTTGAAAGAAACTGATATCTGGATTGAAATTTAGTTGTATAAAAACATTCCCTTTCACTTCGGAGGTGGGCTTTTGGTCTCCTGCTTATTTGTTCAATCTATTTTTCAGCCTATTTCTTCTCACACACCTTCTTCAGTAGGGCCGTGAGCACAGTGCGTTGGTCTTCTGAATGTGAAATATGATGGGAATGTACAAGTCCACGCCTTCACCTCTGCACTACGTTCGGCGTTCTTGCGAAGATCCAACCGGAAGGTGGCTGACTCTCCACGATTCAATCGAAGACTGATGCAAAGTCCTTGCAGTCTTGCAGGCGGACGAAGATTTTCCCTCCGGAAGTAAAACTGACTCCAGACTATTGTGCCACATCAGCTGCTGCTGTGAAGAGATGTCTGACTCTCTACCGTACGTTGAGGTAGGACGACGACCGACCAAGTGGCGGCTATGACATGCGACACATTTTGGAAGTGAAAAGTGCAGGCCTCGAAGAGCCATGATTGGGCCCAAACCATGCACTCTCGGGATGTTTGTACTCAAGCGTTGACTGAAGGTATATAAGGCCCCGAGCACCTGCTCTTTCATCATTCAGCTTTTGTACATTCTCTCTTCTGCACCCTCATTCAACTCAGAACATCATTTGCCGAATTCCTCGAGCCTCCGTTGCGTTGCTCACGAAGCCCTTTGTGCACACGTACAAGAATCAGATCTCACCGGGACAAGCAGTGAACGTTACGGTAGAACAATGGCAGGCTTATCAACTATTCTCATGGGAAGCATCCCGGTTGTGGGCAACACTCTCAGTCCTGGTCTGCGTACGCTGAAGCCCCGATCGCTGTCGACGAGGGGTGTAGTTCGCTGCCAAGCGGGTCCAGGCGGGAACAACCCTCTGAGTGGATTGAAAGAGTCCGTCGATGAGGCCACCAAGCGCCCTATCACGAGGGAGGACATAATCCGAAACCAGGAGGAAAATTTATCCGAAAAGCAGTCTGTTTTCGGAGCTGTTCCGACCTCTGGGTCCTTCTACCCCCGCCCTGAGCTGGAACGACGACCCGAGACTGGCTCTCGATCGTTCGGTAGCTTATTCGCTTTCGATGGAGCTGCGCCAGAAACCATCAACGGACGACTGGTGAGTTGCGTTCTGTCTTCTGTTTCTGATTTCCGTCGATATGATACCAGAACAAGTTTGATGTCGGTTAAAATGATTTCTTTGTATTTTGTGACGCTGAGCACTAGGAATATGCAGAAGATATTAGTACGTCCAAAAATGGTATCGCTTGTATCCGGCAAACTGAATCTACATTCGCAGTCTGTGACTAGTTTCTGTAATCTATAAGCGAATTGGTAAAATTCTGGCGATCAACTGACAGCATGCCATTGAATATGTGTTCCAGGCCATGCTGGGGTTTGTATGGGCTCTCTGCGCTGAGAAACTCACCGGACTGACAGTGATGGAGCAAATCTCAAACCCCGCAACTTCTGGTCTCATCTTTTTTGTCGGAGCAGTTCAGATCTTCACGTATGCATCCCTGATACCGATGATGAATGGAGAATCCACAGATGCCAGGAGCTGGGGTCCCTTCAACGCTCGAGCGGAACGTTGGAATGGGAGACTCGCCATGATTGGCTTCGCTGCTTTGATTATTGATGAGATGATCCGTCAGGGACCTCTCATCCACTAATTGTACATTCTACTCCCGGAGTTGGTGAAATCCGCCAGCAACTTATTAGCAGCTTTGTGCAGGATTGAAGATAGGAATAAGTCACGGTGTTCATATCTCCAAAAGTAGAGAGTTCTGGCTGGGCGGCCCAGCCGGCCAACCCCGTTGCAACCGGGCCTTTTGTTAGTGATTCGACGAATTTTCTATTGACCCATTAATGTACAAATTTACGATATTTCCTATAATCTCGATTACAGTGGTCATTCTTCCAATTCGCTTGATGGAGTCTGCCATCAAATTGTATTTCACGGTTAGTCGTTTGTCTTCAATTTGCGTACTCAATACTTCGAGTGATTTGATGGTTGACTACTTCATAAATTAGAACTTTCATATATTACTGTCATATATTACTTTGTTGTTTTCATATGATTCACCTTCCCTCTGACCCTAAAATGCTCTTCCTTTTTCCTCAAGTTGCCGACTTTAACCAGATTGTGTCTGGCATGCTCTACAATGCACTTGATTGACTCCTGCCGGATATTGCGTGGTTGATTCTTGATGTCTGTTCTTAGTTAATTTGAGATACGCGTTAAGGAGATTGTTAACCTTTCCGATTCACCGAATTGAAGAGAACGAAAAATATGTAGTATCTGACCCGTATATGCGAAGACAGACGGATAGTAATAGTAACCTGATGAAGATCCACAGCAAGACATCCCGAGACGGGCCCATGACTCATTGATTGACAACCACTTCATCTACCCGCAACTTGCTTTCCTTGATGATGCACAATGAGGATGAGTGAAGAGAGTTAAGCGTGAGTTGTGGATGAGTCTGTTGGATGTGAGAGTAAACGTTCTGTAAGCCAACGACATGCATGAGGTGCAGAAGTACGGGATCCAGGTTCACTCTTTTCAGAGATGTCTTTCCCGAGGCCTTTTTTAGAAGCATTTGAAAAAAATTCCGTCAGATCAAAGTCAGAGTGTTTGAAAGCAGATTCATTTTGTAGATGGTCGATAGTGATCTCGAGAATTTATATGACTTGAAAAGTTGCATCTCTAAGCTCAACCTTATCTGATGTACTTAGTTAGCTCCATGGACTGAGCATGTTCGCTTATGTGGGTCACTGAAGTTATATCACTTGTGGAGATCAGCGTGGAATCTACAAAATCTACGACCATCTACAAATCTCACCGACATAGATCGTACATGTTCTCTTCTTCGACAAAAACATAAATCTCTCATCTCCCTGCTGTGTTAGTAGCCCAAATGGCTTCATTTGCTGCATTGTACATGACAGTGTTGCCATCGTCCTGAACGTCGATGTGGTGAGCTCCATCATTACGCCCCCAAGTTTTCGAAGACCAGCGTGCGTCCGCTGAGCAGCGTGAAGCCCAGCGTGCAACACCGCCAACGTACACTACAACGTTTCCATCGGATTGCAGCTCCATATAACCATCTGAGGCGCAGCCATCGGTTTTGCTGGACCACAGAGCTCCGACACCAATGTGATACAGGACCAAGTTGCAGTCAGCCTGCATGATAAACCTGTAGACTCGATTTCTGGAATCTACAAACTGTCCGCTCGTCAGTCTCATTCCCTGGGTGATGCGACTGCTCGATGTGTTAGTAGCCCAAATGGCTTCATTTGATTCATTGTACATGACAACGTTGCCATCGTCCTGAACGTCGATGCGGTGAGCTCCATCATTACGCCCACAAGTATTTGAAGCCCAGCGTGCAACACCGCCACCGCACACTACAGCGTCTCCATCAGATTGCAGCTCCATGTAACCATTGGAGGCGCTGCCAGCAGTATTGCTGGACCACAGAGGTCCGCCACCAGTTTGATATAGGACCAAGTTGCAGTCAGCCTCCATGATAAATCTGTAGACTCGATTTCTGGAATCGATAAACTGTCCACTTGTGAGTCTCATACCCTGGGTGATGCGACTGCTCGATGTGTTGGTAGCCCAAATGGCTTCATTTGCTGCATTGTACATGACAGTGTTGCCATCGTCCTGAACGTCAATGTGGTGAGCTCCATCATTACGCCCCCAAGTTTTTGAAGACCAGGGTGAGTCCGCTCGTGAGCGTGTAGCACTGCGTGCAACACCACCAACGTACATTACAGCATTTCCATCGGATTGCAGCTCCATGTAACCATCCAAGGCGCAGCCAGCGGTATTGCTGGCCCACATAGGTCCGACACCAATGCGATACAGGACCAAGTTGCAGTCAACCTGCATGATAAATCTGTAGACTCGATTTCTGGAATCGACAAACTGTCCGCTCGTCAGTCTCATTCTCTGGGTGATGTGACTGCTCGATGTGTTGGTAGACCAAATGGCTTCATTTGCTGCATTGTACATGACAGTATTGCCATCATCCTGAATGTCGATGTGGTGAGCTCCATCATTACGCCCCCAAGTTTTCGAAGACCAGCATGCGTCCGCTGAGCAGCGTGAAGCCCAGCGTGCAACACCGCCAACGTACACTACAGCGTTTCCATCGGATTGCAGCTCCATGTAACCATCTGAGGCGCTGCCAGCGGTATTGCTGGCCCACATAGGTCCGAAACCAATGCGATACAGGACCAAGTTGCAGTTAGCCTGCATAATAAACTTGAAAGCTCGATTTTTTGATTCGACAAACTGTCCGCTAGTCAATCTCATTCCCTGGGTGATGCGACTGCTCGATGTGTTAGTAGCCCAAATGGCTTCATTTGCTTCATTATACATGACAGTGTTGCCATCGTCCTGAACGTCGATGTGGTGAGCTCCATCATTACGCCTCGAAGTACCCGAAGCCCAGCGTGCAACACCGCCAACGTACACTACAGCGTCTCCATCGGATTGCAGCTCCATGTAACCATTGGAGGCGCTGCCAGCAGTATTGCTGGACCACAGAGGTCCGCCACCAGTTTGATATAGGACCAAGTTGCAGTCAGCCTCCATGATAAATCTGTAGACTCGATTTCTGGAATCGATAAACTGTCCACTTGTGAGTCTCATACCCTGGGTGATGTGACTGCTCGACGTGTTGGTAGCCCAAATGGCTTCATTTGCTGCATTGTACATGACAGTGTTGCCATCGTCCTGAACGTCGATGTGGTGAGCTCCATCATTACGCCCCCAAGTTTTTGAAGACCAGGGTGAGTCCGCTCGTGAGCGTGTAGCACTGCGTGCAACACCGCCAACGTACATTACGGCATTTCCATCGGATTGCAGCTCCATGTAACCATCCAAGGCGCAGCCAGCGGTATTGCTGGCCCACATAGGTCCAACACCAATGCGATACAGGACCAAGTTGCAGTCGGCTTGCATGATAAACCGATAGACTCGATTTCTGGAATCAACAAACTGTCCGCTCGTCAGTCTCATTCCTTGGGTGATGCGACTGCTCAATGTGTTGGTAGCCCAAATGGCTTCATTTGCTGCATTGTACATGACAGTGTTGCCATCGTCTTGAACGTCGATGTGGTGAGCTCCATCATTACGCCCCCAAGTTTTTGAAGACCAGGGTGAGTCCGCTCGTGAGCGTGTAGCACTGCGTGCAACACCACCAACGTACATTACAGCGTTTCCATCGGATTGCAGCTCCATGTAACCATCCGAGGCGCAGCCAGCGGTATTGCTGGCCCACATAGGTCTGACACCAATGTGATACAGCACCAAGTTGCAGTCAGCCTGCATAATAAACCTAAAGGCTCGATTTTTGGATTCGACAAACTGTCCGCTAGTCAATCTAATTCCCTGGGTGATGCGACCGCTCGATGTGTTGGTAGCCCAGATGACTTCATTTGCTTCGTTGTACATGACAGTGTTGCCATCGTCCTGAACGTCAATGTGGTGAGCTCCATCATTACGCCCCAAAGTATCCGAAGCCCAGCGTACAACACCGCCATCATACACTACAGCGTTTCCATCGGATTGCAGCTCCATGTAACCATCTGAGGCGCAGCCAGCGGTATTGCTTTCCCACAGAGGTCCGACACCTGTTTGATACAGGACCAAGTTGCAGTCAGCCTGCATGATAAACTTGTAGACTTGATTTTTGGACTTGACAAACTGTCCGCTACTCAGTCTCATTCCCTGGGTGATGCGACCGCTGGATGTTTCGGTACCCCAAATGGCTTCATTTACTTCATTGTACATGACAACGTTGCCATCGTCCTGAACATCGATGTGATGAGCTCCATCATTACGCCCACAAGTATTCGAAGCCCAGCGTTCAACACCGCCACCGTACACTACAGCGTTTCCATCAGATTGCAGCTCCATATACCCATCCGAGCGGCTGCCAGCCGTATTGCTGTCCCACAGAGGTCCGACACCAGTTTGATACAGGACCAAGTTGCAGTCAGCCTGCATGATAAACCTGTAGACTCGATTGTTGGAATCCACAAACTGTCCACTACTCAGTCTCATTCCCTGGGTGATGCGACTGCCTGTTGTGTTGGTAGCCCAAATGGCTGCATTTGCTTCATTGTACATGATAACGTTGCCATCGTCCTGAACGTCGATGTGGTGAGCTCCATCATTACGCCCCAAAGTATCCGAAGCCCAGAGTGCAACACCGCCACCGTACACTACAGCGTTTCCATCGGGTTGCAGCTCCATATAACCATCCGAGGCTATTCTATGGGTATTGCTGGCCCACAGACGTCCGACATTAGTTTGATACAGGACCAAGTTGCAGTCGGCCTGCATGATAAACCTGTAGACTCGATTTTTGGAATCGACAAACTGTCCGCTACTCAGTCTCTTTCCCTGGGTGATGCGACCGTTCGATGTGTTGGTAGCCCAAATGGCTGCATTTGCTTCATTGTACATGACAACGTTGCCATCGTCCTGTACGTCGATGTGGTGAGCTCCATCATTACGCCCCAAAGTATCCGAAGCCCAGCGTGCAACACCGCCACTGTACACTACAGCGTTTCCATCAGATTGCAGCTCCAAGTAACCATCCGAGGCTGTGCCGACGGTATTGCTGTCCCACAGAGGTCCCACACCAGTTTGATGCAGGACCAAGTTGCAGTCAGCCTGCATGGTAAACTTGTAGACTTGATTTTTGGACTTGACAAAGTGTCCACTACTCAGTCTCATTCCCTGGGTGATGCGATTGCTAAGGATCGGTGAGTTTCCGAAGTTGATGGTATACTTTGCTTGGAAGTTTCTCGGATTGTACAATCCCCAGCTCTTCTCTAAGCCAGCAGCCTTCTGATTCTCGTCGAACATTGCAAAAATGTAAGTCTGGAT